TCGGAAATTACACGAGGATATCATGCAGCAATGGCAAACCTACGTCGTTGACAAGACACTAGATGATTATCAGTCTCGTCATCTCAGTTCTAAAGTCGATAGCCAGGCTGCAGATGGTGAGTTCGATTTATTCTGACTATGCAATGCTGCTCATAACTCGTAAAGCATCTGGATACGATTCTCTGAGGCCATCGGCTGCCGCTGTGAACAGTGTACTAGATCTGGCAACATCTCTGCAGCAGTTTGGTGGCCTCCTTGACCCTATGTATTTGAACACACGAGCGCAGCAGCTTCTCGAGGCCTTCTCTGCGAAGTTTGTGGAGCGATTCCAGGAGTGCTTAGAGGACTCAGAAACGGCCAACGTGGACATGACCAAAGACCTGGTGCTTCTATATATCCTCGTCACTGCGTGGAAGTCTGAGGATTCAAGCATCAGCATGCGCCTTCGCGAGGCAGCCACAAAAGCATCGTCGCAAGTACGTGACTGCGTCCTTTGACTACTGAGCCGCGCCTAACCCAAATTGATATCCAGGACTTCGATAATACCCGTGACGCTATGATGAGTTCCGTATCCAAGATGCAGCTTCTCTTCGGCCTTCTGCTGCCCTCGACGCCAGCATTTGTCGGAGAGAAGAGGCTGCATGAAGCGTCGAAAGCCGGGTCACCCCCAGTGGAACTTCAATCCCAGACCGCTGTGGAGGTGGTCAAGCCCTCCGCTCGCTTTGGCTTGTTATTGGTAGGATCGTCCCTCGCTCGGTGAATATATGTTCTGGTTGCATGTACGGATGACCCGCTGTTGTGATGCTGTCTGCAGTGACTCTGCTTCTTACCTAGTGCGTCATTGTTTCATACTTTCCGCGATGGCTTGTCCAGATCGATGCCGGAAACATTTATCCAGCTGCTAATCGCGCCAATCTCCTGCCCACCACCACATGCGTTTATAGACTGCGATCATTCCTCTGATTTGCGTCCGTTCATAACCGGAATGCCTGCTCTTTGACTCTTTACCTGCCTGAGGCTGGTCCCCCTTCATTCGACTCCGGTAGTCGAGTACCCTGCTGGTCGGACAAGCATAACGTTGGTAATGACAGCAGGTGTGTCCGTCAGCTGTTATGGCCGGCTGGAGGAATCTTTGAGACACTATTAGCTAGCGCCCCAGATCTGAGCAGGCTCAGCACGCCATACTTCGTCCTGCACATCGCGGGTGGACATGTCGGAATTCCTACACTAATTCTCCTATTTATTGTCGCGAGACGGGTACATCGACCTGCAAGCGTGATCAACTTCTGTCTAACATGGGTCATTTTCTCTGTATCTTACTGCTTGCTGTGAGTATCTTGCGCTGCCAAACTTGCGGTGAGGAAGGTGACGCTGATACACGTTGATCTCCCGCAGCATGTATGCGGGTCATCATGGCAATGAATATCCGCCCTTCAAATTGTGCCTCGTGCAAGCCGCCATGATCCATGGCGCACCGCCCATGTAAGTGGCGCTATGTTTATGATGGACCCACATGTTGAACGCTGGCGGCGGATAGGGTAGCTACGGCAGGTCTTGGTGTAGTGCTTCAGGTATGACAGCTCGATGCTCCGTGGTATGGGAACAAGGCTAATTGTGTGCGGGTAGGCTTATAGTACGTTTCAACTGCCTTGGCAGTACAGATGGACCATAGGGCTATCAAAAGTCCCGGGATGGCTTCTGGTTGTTTTCGTACGTCGCAAGCGTATGACACCTGATACCTATTGTCATATACTTTTCAACTTGACAGATTGTGACACCACCATATCTCGTGTTTATCGCCTTCGCGGTCACTACTGCAGTAGTGAGTCTGCCCCTTGGCCGTCTATTCCTGTGCCTCCTGACTTGCCCGTAGGCTGGTCTGCGGCATCGCGATACGGTTAAATCGGAAACGAGACTCTACTGTTCGATAGCGATTGGTGCGGGACCGTTGTAGGTCGCAGCGATTCTCGCCCGTGTCAACACCTCACTGATGACGCTGTAGTGAAGACCTCGGTGTTCCGATCTTCTGTACTATCCTGCTGGTCGCCATTGTGGCGCTAGAAGGTATGGTGTGATACACGCTGCTTGCTCGCTGGAATGCATGTTGTTAAAGTCCAACTCGCTACAGTGGCAATGATCATACAGTACTGGTACAGCTGGCTTCGTATTAAGCATGCCTTCCCACTGGCCATCAGGAAGCCTTCCTTATCGCCCTGGCTGCGCGTGGGTCGCATTGTCCTGTGAGCTACTCGTTAATCTCAACCCTAGATCTGCTCTAGGTGTCGGCGTTCACGTTGTACTCCTTAGCAACGCTCCTGTGAGTGGTTTCGCAATTAAACCCCGCCCTGATACACACCCATATAATGCGGCATGATAGAATATGTGTCGCATTCGTAACACGCTACTTTGGCCCTCTATCGTACATGATCCCAGCGGCGCGTAAGTACTAGTACTGCTATGGACAGGCGACGAAGCTATTCAATTATGAACTACCACAGTCCCTATGGTCGCGACGATAATTTTCGGCTCGCAAAACGTAAGCGTATACAATGTCGGCTTTTACTTGAATGTGGAACTTATTGAGCGAAAGGACGTTTACCGCGCTGTGACGGCATGGGCATGCAAGCCACCCAGAGGGGACGACGCTCGGTATACTCCAGGGGGAGGGTGGTCTGCAACCGAAAGCTCAAGGCTCTCAGCGCAGCTCACTGGGCACTTGACGTTGACATCCGAGGCGTAACACTATCACGCGACCCGCGTGAAGCGACCTTACTCCCGAGGTACTGAACC